CCTCCTCACGCGCACCCCGCTAACTCCGCAGCGCAGGAGATTTACGTCATCAGGGCGCAGCGGCTGACGGTGCGGAGGCAAAGAGTCGGGCAGTCGCTACTGCGCAGACTCAAAGCCAGCTTGGGGCCGGTCGAGGTCGAGTGGGCTGAGCGATAGCTGCGTGGAGAGGCGTGTTTCTGAACGTGAAGTCCTTTCTGTTTCTTTTATTATACTGTGTGGAGAGAAAGGGACACAAACACTATCAGAATGATAGAAATTAATATCAATAAGCCGCTCTCACACTTCACGCTTTCTTCAGTCCTAGCGGGGTTGAGGCTAGACGGGTACTATTGCTGTTTTACAGATGCGGAAGTTGACATTGGCCGCTAGAGAGCCGCGGAAGCAGGGTTTGGGGCAGATTCAATGGAGAAACCCTGAGATAAAGAGGCCTGGGTTTGGGGGCCGGGGCGGGCAGGGAAGAGGTCCGAGACAGTGAAATGGGATGTTATTAGGGGCCAAAGGTGAAATCTTGTGGGATCTGAGAAGTAACAAATGGTGTTATTACTACTGTGGACTGAAACTAAATTTACTGTTTATTTCTTACAGTCTCTCCAGTTATTTTTACAGGCATAGAGAAATCTTAGTGGGGTCATACTGCCGACCACTCAGCTTTTTTGGAGAGGCAGTATTAAATTGGGGGCCGGGGGACACGTCTAAACTTCCCCGGTTCAAATTCTGACTCTGTCCTTAACTACTTCTTTGACCTGCGCAAGTTAATTAGCTTATGTGATTCACTTTACTAACCTGCAAAAAAGGGGGTGGTAAACCTATTTATTATGAGGAATAAAAAAACGAGCTAATACATGTAAAATGCTTAGAATGGTGCCTGGCAGGGAATAAGCACTTTTTAAGTGTTTGCATATTATTATTTTTTTTTTTCCTTTTGCTTTAGAGGTGGTAGGCACTGTACTCCTACACAGGCACCATGAGGCTTCTTTTGTCTCTTCTCACTTTTTTTTTCCTACTAGAGATACATTTTAGTCTCAGTTTGTACCACTTGCAATACATGTACTCAATAAATTTAAAGAGGGTCTACTGTGTCCAAGAATAATTTAAATGCTGGAGAAACAAGATCCTTTCTCTCAAGGAATTTGTATTCTCTTTGGAAGAGATAAACAAGAAAAACCTAAACAAATAAACAGAACAATTTCACACATCGATAAGTGCTATCTGAAAATGAGGATGCTATCTTACTGGGCTAGTTTCAGAAAGAGGTGACTGTAGAGATGACATTTAAGTAAATCTTTAGTGAAAAGAGCAACCTTGATATCATCTGGAGGAGAAAGAAAGTGTTTCAAGCAGAATGAGTAACATGCAAAGACTGAAATGGGATGAGCTGGACATGGTCTGGGGACAGAAGTTGTGAAGAAGGAGCAAAGTTGACAGAAATTACTAATTTTCAAAACAAGGAGATTACAAGGTACAGGCCATTTAAGCTCTTTAACAACATAAATTCATTTTATAGTATGGTTTCATACCAGAACTCCTGGCTGTTAAGTTGTCGTTTAAATTCTAGGGTTCTTTCGGTGGGCATTTAGTAATTTCTCTTTCCTTTCAGAGATGAAATAGGCCTTTATTGAAATAGTCTATTCTTTCCTGAGAGGCAGCCTGGCAGTTGAAAGAGAATGGACTATGGTTTAGATAAACTTCAGGTCAAATGAACTTTGAGTAAGTGAAATAATTTTTCTGAATTTTAGGTTCTGTATCTTTAGATCAGAAATAATAATTACTCTGTGTTAAGTAGTCTGAATGAAAGCATCTAATGAAATGTCTTAGACAAGATAGTTATTCAAATCTTAGTTTCCTTCCTTTTTTGGCTTGGCAATGCTTGCCGTGAAACTGCCCAAATTCAGCATGACAGATTGCTGTTCCAAGATTGTTGCTTGATTGCCTTGCCTGTGCTTTCCTTCCACTTTTATAGAATTTCCACTGTTCTTCCCACTTTCAATATTCTATTATTGTAATTTTAACACTCCTGCGTTTGCCTTTATTGGAGTTAATCCAAATGTTTATGACGCATCTCCACTCACATCTCTCACAAAATATATTTACTTCACAACCTTGTTTTTAGTAAGAAATTTTTGAAAACCTAAGGAAAATTTGTGCTTTCAGGGGAAAATAGTGTTTTGAAGCATGAGAAGAGGTTCAGATAACATTATACATTCTGCTTTTTAAAGATGAATCAGTTGGAGTCAGCATATCAACCTGGATGATCTGTCTAAAAATAACCTAGTTCTCAACAAAATGTTTTAGTATATATCGTCTTTATAGAACATTCGTTATTTTGTCTGACCAGCACCCTTCTATTTCTTGGAGAAATGCCCTGTCCTGACCTCCTGTGATTCTGCTGTTAATGTTAATAGCAGATGTGTCCAGACCTTGCTAATTATGGAACCCCAGCCTAGTCTCCCCATTGACCGTTTACCCAGGCAGGGTCAAGAATTGCTTCTCCATCAGTCTTGACATGTGAACTCTGGGAGAGTGTCAGACAGTCTTTTCTTTCTCTGAGATTATAAACTCTAAAGACCATGCCAAGCCTGGAATAGCAGAGGCCATTTTTGCCACCACATGGGGAGACCCTGTTTGAAGATGAAGTTACAGAGTGGCCCGAGAAATGAGAAATAAGAGAGAGAAGTGGAATCTTTATGTAGAAATAGAGTTTACACTACTTCTTGGACTTCCCAGTTAGGTGAGCCAGTGCATTTCAGTTGGTCTTTTGTTAAGTGTGTCCAAAGGAATTCTAATACACTTCTACTGGAGTACAAAGATCCATGTTTTATTAACCTTGTAGCACCCACAGAGACTGGTAGCGTACCTTGTGAATAAATGGATGAATGGCCTATTACAACACATCTGGTGAAAGAATTAGTGGATGGATGAATGAATAAACAAATGAAAGCTTACCATTTTATTTACCATATAATATATCTGCCATATAATTTCTCATTATAGAAATTGGTGACCCAAAAACTACCCTGGAAGAAAAGAATATGAAATGTTAAGAATGGTTATCTCTGGGTTATAGAATTCTGGGAAAATTTTTTTAAATTTTGGTTTTTTTCTTTATGATTTTCTCAAATCTTCTGCAAGGCATATGAATAGCTCTTATCAGAAAAAGTAAAAAATGTTTTGTCTTCTTTTTATTGTTCTGACATATTAGCTATTTTTTTATTTAAGGGAATTTTGACTTTTAACTACATTTTAACAAAGACATTTGTTTTGTTGTTTTTTAAGACTCAAACTAGAAACCACATGTCACTTAATATGTTGAAAAGATTTTATGCATTGACAAATAAACACTAGTATGTCAAATGTAGTGTATATTTCCCCTCCATATTTTTTTCTTGATATTATAGATTTTAAAACCTCCTAGATTACTGAGTCCATCTCTGACTTCTACTGACTATTTAAAAGAGCTTTGCCTTTCATTCATATATCATTTGGTATGTCCAGGAAGCTATATATAATCTCTCATATTATTAATCTTTTTCAATAAAAGAGGAATAAAAATGATCAGTGTTCAGCTTATAAGTACAACACATGAGAGGTGAAGTGAAGCAGGGGACATTTTGATTTCCAATGCACGCAGACGGTTGTGACATGTGAATAATCCTGGACACATAAACAAAAAAATTAGGCATATGGCTATATCTTGGACACATCACTGAAGTCCTTTGATCTAGTCTCATCTGTAAGGGTCTTGTTCACTTATAGAAATCTGTAGGAAATTATGTAGTTTTATGTCTAAGCAATAAGTATGTTCCAGAAAAGTTGTGTTTCAATTAGATTTCTACAAATAATAAATTAAGTAGAATTTGTTATTGTGACTTGAACACTTTGTAATGCAAATAACAACCATATAGTTGTATAGTAAGCAAAATAATGGCCCCTCTCAAAGATGTCTATATGCTAATCTCTGAAACCTGTGAATATGTTGCCTTATGTGGCAAAACTTATTTTGCAGATGTGATTAAATTAAAGATTTTGCGATAGGGAGATGGTCCTGGATTATCTGGGTGAGGCCAATGTAATTACAAGGGTCCTTATAAGAGGGATGAGAGAGAGAGAGAGAGAAGATATGATGACAGAAGCAGAAGTCAAAAAGGAGAAAAGTTGCAACATTGCTGGCTCTTTGAAGGTAGAAGAAGGTGACCATAAGCCAAGGAATGTAGGGGGCCTCTGGAAACCTGGAAAAGGCAAGGAAATGGATTTTCTTCTAGATCCTTATGGACACATTTTATACTTCTGACATCCAAGACTGTAAGACAATAAATTTATATTGCTTTGAGCCATTAAGTTTATGGTAATTTGTTACAGCAATGTCTTAGTCAAGATTGCTATAAAAACTATTAATGTCATAGACTGAGTGGCTTATAAACAACACACTTATTCACAGTTCTAGAAGCTGGGAAGGCCAAGATTAATGCACCAGCAGATTTGGTGCCTGGTGAGGACTAGCCTCCTGGTTCACAGATGGCCATCTTCTTGCTATGTCTTCACGTGGTAGGAGGGCAAGGGAGCTCTCTGGGACCTCTTTAATAAGGGCACCAATCCCATTGCAGAGGGCTCTGCTCCCGTGACCTAATAACCTACCAAAGACCCCACTTCCTAATACCATTACATTAGGAGTTAGGATTTTAACATATGAATTTGGTGGAGGGCACAAATATTCAGTCTACAGCAAGCAAAAAATAGAGAACTAGTAGAGATTGACAGAATAAAAGATGCTTAGCTAAAATTGAACTTCGGATAAACAATGAATTTTTTTGTATATCTAATTTGTTCCTAGTATAGCACAGGACATAGAGTAAAACAATTATTTGTTGTTTATATGAAATTCAAATGAAACTAGGCATCCTGTATTTTATTTCTACTAAAAATTTTATTTTTATTAAATTTTTACTAAACCAGATTATAATGTGCCTTATTTATTAATTTTGTATTAATCTTGATATCCAGTCTTATATGTCAAATTCTCTTTAAAAAGGTGCTCATCCTGAATTAAATTATTGTGGGGAGATATCGTATTCATGAAGAGATTTTTTTACCTGAGAACTTCTCATTGCAAGGAAGGATATGTAGTTGAATTGGGTAGCAATGACTCTTTTCTGTGCTAGTAGGAACTTCTTCTCTAGCACAGAAGGGAAAAGTCTGTAGACATCATCTCATAATTTTAAAGCTGAATGGGATCTGAAATATTTTCTAGTATAGGGCTTGTAAACCAACTGATTTCAAGGTCCAGGCAGATTATCAATATATGAAGCTGGTCAGTTACAGGATTATAGGAAATAGTGGAGACCAAGGTGACCCACACAACACTTGGCCTGTTTAAAGGATCTAAATATTGTTAAAGCTCTTTGAGAGAAAAACAAAACATGGGCTTCTAGCTTGTTTAGTCTCCTCTCATAACCTCCATCATCCTCAGTCCATCCAAATGAACTCTTATTCTAAGTAAACACAGTGTGCTCACCAAGCAAACGCAGACTTCTGAGAAGTTCCTTAGTCCCTTTCAGCCAGATTGCTGATCCCAAACTCTTCCTATTTATAAATTCCAGAATTTCTATTGAGCAGAATTCATCTCTAAAAATCTTCCAAACTCTTGCAACTTTTACATGTGATGCTGACCATTAGCATCAGCATCACCAGAGAGCCAGTTAAACGTGCAAATTCCCAGGTCCCACCCAAGATGTACTGGATCAGAAGCTCTGGAGAGGGGCTCAGCAATCTGTGTTTTACACCCCCTGTGGGCGATTCTAGTAAACACTAAGTTAGAGAAGTCCAGATCTAAATTTTTGGGGGAAAGAGATATATTCATTCTTATCTAACTCTAGGATTCCCAGTCTGTTTTGTGCAAAATGTGCTGGTAGATGTTATCCACTCCCCTGTCCCCAGAGCACATTGCAAACTGCATGTTTACAGATTTACGGAATTAGTCGGCACATGAGAGGAATGGAATTCCTAGTACCTCCTAAGCAGTGTGGTTGATGACAGCAAAGTTCAGTGAGATGTGCTTCCCTACAATGTTTGCAAACTTGTTCTTCACTCATTTTGCAGAAGGAGTGCTTTCAGTTACAATCTAATCTTAAGGCATATTTTAACTTCACACTTTCAAAAAAATTAATAGACAATTTTAGGTTCACAGCAAAATTGAGGGGGAAAGTACAGAGAGTTTCCATTTACCCTCCACCACACACAGCCTCTCCACCCCGCCCCCGCCACCATCAACATTACTCATCAGTGCGGTACGTTTGTTACAGTGAACCAGCATTCGTTCTCTCTCTCTCTTATAGATACCTGTTTTATAAGGCACAGAGAGTTTGAGTAATTTGCCCAAGTTTGCATAGCTAGTTAATCATAGAACCAAGATTCATTCCCAGACAGTCTGGCTTCAGAGATTGAACTCATAACTACTGCACTGCACTGCTTCTTGTAAACAGCAAGCCATTCCTATGCCAAGTGTATTATCTTCAGCCTTAACACCAAACCAGGTTATTGCCCATCTCTCTGCGAGAACTTTCTTCACTTGACGACTTTGCTATCTGATATCTATATAAAGAATAAAGCTGCTGTCTTTAGATTATTTGACCTCAATTACTTTTTTTTTCCTTTTTCTTTTTGCTGTGTAGAAAGATCAGCTGAAATCAAACTCAATTTCTTATGCTTTGACTTGACACACAATTAGCAGTATAATCATGAAGTAGGGCTCATTAATGCAAAGAGGCATAAGAGGTCTGACTACAGCTCCAAAGCTAGCATGCTGGCAAGAGTGAGATGGAGACTGAGGTTTTATTACAAGCAATAGGAGGAGTTGTACGTGCAAAAGTGGTCTTGGTTCTTGATTGAGAGACTCTTACAGAATATGTCATTTGTACAACCTTGGCCACTCTTCTTTAGCCACCAACTACAGAGATGGTGTTCTCATATCATTGATCAAGTCTTTATTCAAATAAATGATTTAAGAGGAAAAATTTCTGCTTTGACCTTACCTTGTATACTTCTTTCTGAAGCTGCTTGGGAAAGAAGACTTAGGTTTCAGAGGCAGCAGCTTCAGAAGAAGGGGGAGAACACCAGATGATACCGACTCTCCTGTGAGGTGACAATGGACTGCAAGGCTAACAGGTGAGCTAACCATGCGAGCACATTTCTTCAGCAAGCAATACAGTATTATTTTGAGATAGTACTTCAGCAGTATGCAGCCTCTAAGATGGCCCTAGTGACACCTACCTCCTGTTGTTTAGGGACTTACGTAATCCCTTCTCCTTGAAGGACTTGCTTGTAACCAGTAGAATACTTCAACATTAAGGAAATGGCACTTCTGTTATTAGATTACAGGAAAATGTAACTTCGAACATGCTAGCAGACTCTCTGTCTTGCTGGATTTGATAAAGCAAGTTTCTATGTTGGAGGACCCACACAGCAGGGAAGTCGGGGTATTCTGTAGCCAATTGCCAGGTAAATATTGAGTCCCTCAATCCACAGCCCCAAACAATTTGAATCCTACCATCATCATATGAATGAGCTTGTTGAGCAGGGGTCCTCAAACTTTTTAAACAGGGGGCCAGTTCACTGTCCCTCGGACGGTTGGAGGGCTGTTGGAGAGTGTGGCGCACATTCCACACATGTGCACTGTGGGCCTGGGACGAGTCAGCTGCTAAGCAGGACAGGCAATGGCGGCAAAAACACCCGGCAGGCCAGATAAATGTCCTTGGTGGACCGCATGTGGCCCACGGGCCGTAGTTTGAGGACCCCTGTTGTTGAGCATCCTGTGTTGAGCTTTCAGATGAGACCTCAGCACTGGCTAACATTCTGATTCCAGCCTTAAGAGAGACCTGTAAGCAAACCCAGTTAAGTTGTGTCTCAATTACTGACTCACAGAAACTGTGAGGTCATAAGAGTGTGTTGTTTTAAGCTAAGAAACAATAGACAACTAATGCAACTTTGAGTGCCAACTCTTCTAAGGTGAGCACTGCTTCTGGATTTCATGGTTCACTGGTTTATTCTCATCTTGATAATAGTGCAAAGAAAATCTCGACTTGACATTTTTGTTGACATCTGCGGTCATCAAGATGTTGCTAATGCCAGGCATGGTGGTGCATGCGTGTAGTCCCAGCTACTTGGGAGACTGTGGCAGGAGGGAAGCACAGGAGTTCTGTCTTACAAAAAAAAAAGAAGATGTTGCTAAAATATTTTGTGAAGGAATTTGTAGCACATCAAATGCTAGATTTGTATCACTGAAGTATGCTCTCTTTAGTGAATTTTTAAAAATAATCTCTAAGAGGTTACTTGGGAGAAGAGCATGATTTGTATCTCAAGAGTTTTGCTAGAGTTAAGTACTTCTGGACTATAACTGTAATTTCTACCTCTTGCAATATAAAGTACAGGGGTGCATAACTTCTAAATTACAAGTGAAAAGACTTTGATCAACTTTGCTTTTACTAAAAAAAAAAAAAAAAAAAAAAAAACCCTGAGCCTGAAAGTGTTGTTTATCAAAAGTCAAACAAAAATTCATTCAGCAATGGATTTTTTGTCAGATCTGATAATGTTATATAAAACTATAAAATGCACACTGGAATCTCCATTATTAGTATACATTATGAGTAAAAAGAAATATCAGTGTCTGCTTATAAACAAGGACTAGAAGGGAAAATTGAAATTAAGAGAGTATATATTTGATGGTCAGATTTTTCTTTAATTTTTGTTTTTGGCATCATTTATAAAATTGACATTTGTAATAAATAAAAATTTAAAAGAACCTAGTCATGTAAGTATTTCTGTGAACCTGCTATATGCCAGGCTCTATTTTAAGCACTGGGATAGTGTAGTAAACCAAGTAGAAAAAGTCACATGGAGCTTACGTTATAGAGACAGGTGGACAATAAAATGATCAACAATCAATCAACGATTCCTCACAGTGAGAAGTGGCACAAAAAAAAAAGTAAAGCCAGGGCAGGTGACAGAGATGGTGGCCAGGAGGGGACTGTGCAGATAAGTGGGACCAGAGGAGACCTCTTTGATGAGGAGGCATTTGAAAAAACCTGGAAATGTAGGGAATGAATAATTAAATAAATCGACTTTAGTATTCAAAATGGCCAAGGAGGCTGTGAGGAAGGTTGCTGGAAACAGGGCAATAGAGTTTTGAAGAGGTCAGTGACTTCATTGCGGTTCTTATATAAGAGTTCATCACATGTCTGGATGTGGTTTCAGGAGAGGGAGTTTATGGATAGAGAGTGCAGCCTCCAGAGCAAAGCAGCCTGGTGTAAACTCCCGCTCTGCAACTTACTAGTTGGGTGACCTTGGACTAATTGTAAACTGCTCTGAAAAAAAAAAAAAAATGGGACTAATAATAATACCTTACCTCACAAAGTGGTCATGAGGATTAAATAAGTCAATATGTGAAAAGCACTTAGAACAGGCCTGGACCCATATTTAGCAACAATAAATATTAGCTACTATTCTTTTGTTTTATTTTGTTTTGTTTTTTGAGACAGTTTGAGACAGGGTCAGGCTAGAGTGCAGTGGCATTGTCATAGTTCACTGTAACCTCAAACTCCTGAACTCAAGCAATCCTGTTGCCTCAGCCTCGCAAGTACCTGGCACGTGCCACCATGCCCAGCTAGTTTTCCTGTTTTTTGTAGAGATGGGATCTCGCTATGTTACTCAGGCTGGTCTTGAACTCCTGGCCTCAAGTGATCCTCCCATCTCAGCCTCCCAAAGTGCTAGGATTATAGGCATGAGCCACAGCACCCAGCCCCAATATTTGTTCTTTATTAAATGATGTCAACACACACTGCTCTCCAGAGGTGGAATGATATACCTTTTTAAATGGGAGGGGTGTAGCTTTCAAAGTTGCAAACCCAATTTCCTAAGTGACTTTCTGGCCTCCAGGAAAGTCTCAGCCCAGAGCATGGCTTCCCAGACACATTAGGTACAACATACAGTGTTGAAACAAAGGTATAAAGAAGTGAGTGTCAAGGGTTCTTTGAAATCAGCCCAAAATTCCACACATTTTTAAAAATGTAATTTTTATAGTGGCTCAGGGCATGGACTTTGGCATCAGAAAGCTTTGGCTTTAGATCTTGGCTGGGGAAACTATGGTGTCTTGGATACATGATCTTCCTACTTGTCTTAGGCAGCTTAGATTGCTATATAACAAAATACCATAGAGTGGGTGGTATAAACAATAGAAATTTATTTCTCACAGTTGTGAAGACTGGATAATCCAAGATCAAGGCACTGTTTGCAGATGGCTACCTTTTTGCTATATGCTTACATGGTGGAGAGAGAGGTCCTTTCTCTCATAACTCTTTCTAAAAGGCACCCTCATGACCTAATTACCTCCCAAATGCCCTAACTCCAAAAACCATCACATCAGAAACTATTAGGGCTTCAGTATGTGAATTTTGGGGGAGACACAAACATTCAGTCAATAGCACCCATCTAAAATGGAGTTGTTACATCTGACACTCATAGAGCATATATTATGTGCCAGACACTTTTCTGAGATGTTTAAGTGCATTAATTTATTTAATCTCCATAATCCCTTTACAAGGTACTTAATATTATCATCCCATTTTACAGATGAGCAAAATGAGACAGACATTAAGTGACCCCCTTTCTGGGGGTCACACAGCCCTTTAAGTGACAGGGATAGGATTTGAATGCAGGCTGTCTGGCTCCTAGACTGTGTGCTTAAGCTACACACTCCATTGCCTCTTGATAATAATGGCTTCTATATCACAGATAGGATTGTACTAAAGGAGATGATGTGTAAACACTCAGCACAGTGCAAGACACAAAGTCAGGGCTCAGTAAATACTTGTTGAATGATTGACTTTGCAAAGTCATAGTAAATTGTAACATAGTAAATAGAATATCTACATACTATGTTATGGCTAAGTAATTCAATTTTTCATCTTTTTGAGTTCCTTTGTGTGTTTAATAACAGCTTTGCAAATCTATTTTTGCAAAATAACCCTATTTTGGTAGGACATTATATTAGTTAGCAAAATTTGTTTATACTGAGCCCATGGTGGCTCCCAATGGTCACCTCTTACATTTCTACATGATTACAGACCATCTGTTTGAGAAGCTGGTTTAGAATTTTTCCTGCAATCAGTGTAAAATTCTTCATTCTGTTTAGTTTACAGTATTTGCCTTCTTTGCATTTTTGGAACTTGGGGAACCTCCCATTCTCTTCAAGATGAAAATCCGGTTTACGTTACAGGTACACTTCATTAATGATGAAGACCATTAGAAAGTTTCCACATAATTTTAATTTTTTTATGAAAAGTGAGGTGACTACCTTGTGCTTGAAGAGCATTTGAATTATACAACTAGCAACTGACTCCTATTTCAAGCCATAACTCTGTATCAAATTGTGGGGCTGATCCAACATAAAATAAGATTACTCATCTGTTAGAGGAAAAGTTCCAACAGGAAAATTTAGGTAGGATGTGAGTCATATAATGTGACATTCTTCTGCCCTGTAAATAAATCCTGTTAACTAAACCATATGTTTTAAAGGAGTTTAAAAAAATGAAAATGTAAAATTTTTATATATCTAACCCCTTGACCAATTATGTATTTTATACATTTGAATTTCTCAGGTCTATAATTGGACTTTGGAAATAAGTCAGTCATTTTATTTGCAGGAAGCCTTTCCAACTACATTTTTTGTTTAATAAATAATTTCTTTTTGTATCATTTAAACACAGCAAAGACATTGAGCTATGCATAATTCCCTTTTGTTGTTATTGTTTTTATCTAGATGGTACTGTCTGAAGCAAAAGCTAGTACTAAAAGTTCTGAAATGTTAAATGTATAGTCCATGATCTCCTTTCTTAAATTTTCCAAGGGTTAGTTGAGTTGTTGGGAGATGAGAATTAAACTTCATAACTTCGATGGTCAAGTTAGCATTTCACCTCTACAACTTGCCTTTAAAATGATGATATAATAACTTGCTTCCATTGGGAAGTTTCAGTGCAACAGCTAGAATCAGGGTACTACTGAAATGGATTTAGCTTTGGTCACAGAATTTTCAAGTTGCACCCCACTCCTTGTTTCTTTTTTCTTTTACTTTTGGATCGCTAAGGACCACTTATGAGTCACAGAGTGACTACAAAGGATGGGGGTGGTAGGAGAAGGAAAACAGGAGACAGACCTTGGTGGGTCTTAGAGGGACACTAAACTATCACTTGAGGATTTAAAGCCTCTGACTATGGGTACATGTGTGTTAAGTGTTTCTGTGTATGTTTGTAAAACGTAGATGGATTTATACCTCTATGTTGTTAAAGCTAATGAAAATTGAGTCTCTACTTAATTTTTTCTTTATAATTTGATATCATTTGTCTTCTTGAAATACCCTTGACTTAAGCGACCTTCTTCAAGTACCTTTTTCTCTTCAGTGACTTGTAATTCTCCTGATTTTTCTACCTCTCTGGATGTTCTTTTTAAGTCTTCTGGGGGGGGATTCCTCTCCCTTGGTTCATCTCTTAAGTGTCAGTGTTTCATGGGATACTGTTCTAGAAATTTTCTCTTTCTAGACACTCTCCCTGGTTTTCTACTTCTATGGTTTCAATTGCCAGCAATATGCTGAGTGCATCCAAATCGATTGTACCAGCCCAGACCTCTCCTCTTGGATCTGGATGTCTCCAGGTGTTCTCTGGACATTTTAAATCCATAGCGTCCATAATGGAATTCCTTATCTTTCTTCCCAAACTTGTTCTTTCTTGTGTTCCCTCTAGTGAATGGCCACACCCCAGCAGCCAGTCAGCCGGAGTGTCATTCTGGATCCCTCGCCCCCCACACCCACTGCTTCTCATAAAGCACCGAGTCCAGCTGAGACCACCTACTACACACTTAACCCATGTGTTTTCTCCATCCCATTGCCACAACCACAAGTCAGGTCACGAGCATCTTTTCCCTAGATTATTGTGTCAGCCTCCAATTTAGCCTCCCAGCCTCCGGTCCTGCCCTCTAACAGTTCATTTTCCGAGTTACATATAATGCTTCTAAAACACAAATCTGCCCATGCTGTTTTACCTCCAGTCTTCCCATGACTTCCCATTGCATTTAAGATGATTTCCAAGCCCTATGCCATGGTTTACGATGCCTTTTATGATCTAGTCCTTGCTAATTTCCCCAGCCCCATCTGTAAACACTTCTCTATTTATCTTATTTTCAGTATCATTGAATTATTTTCAATTATTCAAACGTCAAGTTCTCTCTTACCTCCAGCCATTTGCATTGGGGTTCCCTGCCTGACACACTTACCCCCTGCATTTTCTGCCTGGCCAACTCCTGTTTCTCAGTTTTCAGTCCAGAGAAAGCAAGAAGCCTTTCCCGAAACTCAAGACTGGGTTGAGTCCTCCCAGGCATTTGATACTTCCTCCATCTAAGCATTTATGGCATCAACTTACAGTGGTCTATTTGCCTGGCTGTGTCTTCCGCTAAGTTCCATTAGGAGAATCTGTTTCATTCACTTTTCAATACACAATGCCCGGGCCCGGAACATGGAAGGGATTAAGTACATAGTGAATGAGTGAATGAATAAATGAATGAATGAGAGAAGGGCAGGAAGAGGATGAAGATGGGAGCATATTTACCTGGAGCCACAAACCATAGCCACCTTTGCGTTCCTACTGTGTCCTAGGCACTGTTCACAGCAGCTCCGGTACATTTAATGTTCCCAACAAACTGGAGCAGATGAGGATTCTGATGCCTAGAGAAATAATGTAACTTGCTAAAGGTCAGACCTTTCTTAATTTGGCGCTTTCTCCTCTTTGGTGGGGAAGCTGAGAGTGTTCACTACATCTAAGGAGATAGGTTACTAATCACATTTTGCATGTAAGTATCACTAAAGTGATTATCACAGACTTCAAGGCTGAGGTTTTAGTTTCTATGAAGCAAACTAACAAACAAAGATATTAAATCTTTAAAGTAAGTATCATTTTATTTGATACTTTAATTTGATAATTTGATACTTTTATTTGATACTTTAAAGTAAGTATCATTTTATTTGATAAAGAAAGTATCATTTTATTTGATAAAGAAAGTATCATTTTATTTGAAATAACCCTACATCTTTGTTATGAGAAAACTGTTAAATAAGATTAATAACTTTCCAGAACCTTTAGTCAACATTATATAAATTATGGAAAGTTTCAATGAAACTACTCTCCTTTCTTCAAAGCCTTCTTGAGAAAGACAGATGGTGTTTTCATGGGGAGGATATGAAAGGAAGCCGAGGTGAGGCAAAGCACCAAGTACTATAGAGACAAGCTATTGATTTACAACGCGTAAAGAAATTTGTTTATCACTGGAACACTTTACAGAATCCAAAAAGACCCCACAACAGATCTAGCCATACAATATATATTTCACAAGCTTCTCAGTACACTCAATTTGCAAAAAAGAGATTAGTCAATATTTTGGTAATCAGGTTCGGGGAAGGCAATTTAAAACTCTGCTTTCCACAGAGAAGGTGATCAGTGTGTATTTGTTGATGGAGTGGTTTTAAATGGTGACACTTTGAGCTTCATTCTGAAGGAAATACAGGCTGGTTGATTAGCATTGTGTAAAAATAATTTCATAGATGGGTATTGAAAATAAACTTAAAGCAGTGAATGTGTTAGAGTAGTGGAATTTTCCCTCCTTAATTTTGTGGAGATGTTGTGTGGGCCATAGATAAAAATCAGGAAGAAATACAAGGTTTGCCTAGCAACTTGTGCCGGGGGCAGACTCACGCGTCTCCTCACATCTAGGCGAACTCTGTGAAAGCAGCCCTGTGGACTGGAATACGTGGCTTCACCCTGTGGCCATTGCCCTCAGGCTTTGATGCCTATTTTGGCAGCAAACTTGTCACACCAGTTAACAAGATCCCATTCAGGCTGGGTGAGGTGGCTCACGCCTGTAATCCTAGCATTCTGGAAGGCCAAGGTGGGAGGATCGCTTGAGGTCAGGAGTTTGAAATTCTGTCTCTACTAAAAATAGAAGAAAAAAAAAAGTAGCCAAGCAACTAAAAACAGAAAAAATTAGTCGAGCATGGTGGCCCATGCCTGTAGTCCCAGCTACTCGGGAGGCTGAGACAAGAGGATCACTTGAGCCCAGGAGTTTGAGGTTGCTGTGAGCTAGGCTGATGCCACAGCACTCTAGCCCAGGCAACAGAGTGAGACTCTGTCTTAAAAAAAAAAAAAAAAATCTCATTCTGTCCCCAGTCACAAAGCAAGCTGTGATCATTTGATTAGCCCACAACTCTGTAAGAGCCCTGAACTCAGTAGCATGGAGTCATGTGAACATACTTGGTTGATAATTGTTGGGTTTTTAAGAGCCTCCAGAGGGGCCTAGGGCAGAAACAGGGATGATCCCTGGGGCTGAGTGCTCCCCTTCCCTTCTCTGTAGGCGTCATGCTGCTTGGGCACAAATAGGGGGAACAGCTGGAGCTCAGCAGGGCTCTTGGCAGCAGAGCGTGGCGTCAGAACCCACTTGGCGAAGAGCACCCATTGGTAGTTGCATCGGGAGCCAGGACTTCCCAAGCTGCCAAGAGAGAATGATGGTGGGCGGGTGGGTGGAACAGAGAGGCAAAGGGAGCACAGGCCTGTTTCCCAGGAGGGGCAGGAAATAAGCAATGGGAAAGCTGCCCTCAAAGACGGGCCATGTTAGTGGCTGTTCTGGGGGTGACACGATCTGTATTAAGTGAACTACTTACAGATAAGGTAGGTTGAGGACTTGCTTGAGAGGCTGTATGTGACATGCTCAGGGGTAGAGCTCGAAGACAGACTTTGCTCTGACGCCACACGGAGGTCTGGAGAGGGACGCAGGACTCCTGGCATCTCTGCGACTGCACCATGTTGGCCCAGGACACAACTCACTAAAACCGCACGGCTCTCGCGTGAATTCTGGAACAGAAAAGGGCTCCCTGAGTATTGAGAAGCTATGTTTGTGGTACCCCGGATCCACCAGGCTTGCCAAAGCAGATTAAGTAGTCTAATTTACCAGATCTGATCTCTTGAAAATCATGTATCTAAACATATTATAACAAGTGGGCCCTGGTTGGAGAAGTGAAATACTAATATTTAGTATATTGACTCCGTATCTGTAGGCATTTTTAGTTCCTTTTGCCTTTTGTTCTACCCACCACCCACCTACCAATAGTCCTTGTCTCTTGGCCTCTCGAAAACAAGCAGTGGGCCCCCCAAAAAAGGCAGCCCAACTAGAAAAACTTTCTTTTTAAAAAAATTTGTTTTTATTTTTTGGAATCATTTTCAGTGGTTAAAAAAAAAAAACTTTCAATGAATGTTGCTCTCAGTCTTTCCTTACTAATCTCACTGCCTTATACTTGTTAATATCACCTCGATACATACAACATTACATTTTGTAGCTCTCTTCCATATTCTCCTCTGCGATTATCTACTTTTCCTGAGCTTAGTGTCTTCCTGATGACAACATAAAAATTCCTTAAAGATGAGGATGAGTATTAGTCAGCTTGGGCTGCTATAACAAAACACCATAAACTGGGTGGCTGAAACAATAGACATTTCTTTCTCACAATTCTGGAGGCTGGGATCCTGCTTAGGGCTCTCTTCCCGGCTTGCAGTTGGCTGCCTTTCGGATGTGTCCTCAACAGGGCGAGAGCCAGTCAAGAAAGACCACACAGGTAATGCTCTCATTGATATAAAATGTCCTGAAATGCCAAGTCTACAGAGTAGATCAGTGGTAGCACAGGGTGGGGAGGGGGCGGGGAGGAGAAGGAATGAAGAGTGCCTGACAAGGGGTACAAGTTTCTTCGAGGGATGATGAAAATGTTCTCAGATTAGGTTATGGAGATGGTTGCACAAGTCTATAATGTACCAAAAACCATTGAATTGTGTACTTTATAGGACTGTACTTTATGGTATGTAAACTATATTTCAATAAATCTGTTACAAAAAAATGTCAATCTAAGCTGTAAGATAAACTTTTTCTTAAATGATTGATTTTTGGACAAAGAATCAGAGGTTCCAGTTTCCAGCTTTTATTCTGCCACTACCTTGGACAAGCTATTTAACTTTTCTTGACACAGTTTTATTAACATGCTTTCCAGATCCAAATTTTTATGATATAACAATAAATCCAACCCTAAAAAGTCACTATTATGTTTTTTCCCCTAAACTTCCTGAGCATAACAGCAAAATATATTTGAATAAAGAATATCGACATTATTAAATTTGAAAATAATTCCAAATAACTCTTTGGACTTAGAGCAAGTTCATTTTTAAAAACAATCGAGGGAGTTCTACCCACATCTCTTCACATTGTTGGAGTTGAATTTGTGCACTTTGCAGAAAGCACTATATTCTAAACTGAAGATTGTGGTTGGGATCAAATTATGAATAGATAATATGTGTAAAAGTGCCCTGTTAATTGGTCTACAGATACATGTTGCTATTATCATTAATGACAACGGTAGTATGGACAGCCAGGAATACATTTAGATAGGGAGGAACCGGAACCTCACTGGGTGTGGTGGTTGACCAGGAGATAACTAGACAACTAGGTGCACCACTCTAGTGCTTCTCAAACCTTAATACACACAATGAATCGCCTGGATATATTGTTAAAACCCTGCTTTTGATTCAAAAGCCTAGGGTCAGGCCTGAGTGTCTTCATTTCTAACAGGGTCCCAGGTGATGCCAACATTGCTGATCCACAGAACACACTTTGACCAGCAAGTTTCTAAGTTTTTATGTTCTTGGAAATGCAGACCACCCATGATCCACTCTCATAGCAAACGTATGAAAAAGAAAAAGATGGGACAGAATTTTAGGTTTATATTCTATTTTGCTTTTGTTGTAAATTTTAAACATTTTATCTTTTAATTAAATTCAATTGATTTCAAGAAACATTTACTGTGCAACAATTAGGATAGTTGGTCTCACACAACTTTTGTACTTTGCACCCCTAAACACACACACACACACACACACTCCTAGAAGGGGCTGAATAAGTCTACCAAGGTATGAACGTGGAGAAGACATGCTAGGATGTGAGAAACGCAGCAGTTTGGGATGCTTTTTTTTTTTTTTATCACAATCTCCGTTAAAAGCTTTTTGAAAAATGGTATACCCTCTCGAATAGTTTTAAATTGACATCTAAAATTTTTCATCATACATTTAAACAGTAGCAAAGGACGTTCTTTATGACACATTGCAAATAGTTATATTTTTAAATAAAGCTATTTTACCACTCTCCGTGGAAAATAATATAAATACCACAGTAATTTGAAACCCATCATCATCCATTTAAAATATTAATAAACAAGTTCCTCCGTAATAGTCAGAAACCTCGTATTGTCCTTTTTCTCTTTCAACATTTCTATTCCATGTCTCCCATGGATATTTATCCTAATGAAATATATTTATGTTGAAAGTCTTTTATTGGTATTTTATTATAATGAATATAAAATATATATTCTATGACCATATGTATAAAACAATTTCTTTTGTATTGACTTATTATTATTAATACTGGAAATATTCATTTGATTAAAAAGGCATACATTACGCATTATGATAAACAATTATTATATGACTATTAGTTGGCATAAGCACCCGGAATGATACACAGGCACTAAGGTTTATCAGGAAGTCTTATGTCTAAGAAAGCAGCAGAGCACACAGATCTCTCCGGCTATCATTCCACAGACAGGGGTGTTTAGGCTCAGGACTTCACTTCTGTAAACCTGGGACATTGAGAGGAAACAGGGACACTTATTTGGCTACCTAACAATAGAGCTTCCTAGAGGTGGGATGAATTTCTTAGAAAATGGAGGCCAGGCGCAGTGGCTCATGCTTATAATTCCAGCACTTTGGAAGGTCAATGTTGGGAGGATCGCTTGAGGCCAGGAGTTGGACACCAGTCTGA